GGGGGTAGTTCGTTCCAGAGGGTGGGGGCTCCCACCGAGAAGGCCCTCCCCCTGGAGGTCGCCAGCCGGCACTGTCTGGCTGATGGCACCCTGAGGAGACCCACTCTGTGGGAGCGTACCGGCCGATGGGAGGTAATCTGCGGCAGAAGGCGGTCTCGGAGATATCCAGGTCCGATGCCATGGAGCGCTTTGAAGATGACCAACACCTTGAAGCGCACCCGGAAGGCTACCGGCAACCAGTGCAGCTCGCGCAGCAGCGGTGTTACATGGGAGCGACGAGTCCCTCCCAACACCGCCCGCGCGGCCGCATTCTGGACCTTTTCAGAAGGTCGCAAAAAATGATCACATGACTCTGGGACAATGCACACATGACTCTGGGACACATGCACACATGACTCTGGGACAATGCAATGGTTATAAATGTCAATTCCCAAGCAGCTGAATTTTGATGATGTGACCATGGGAGATGCTGCAATGGTTGTAAGTGTGAAAAAAGTCACTTTTTCACTGCCGTTGTAACTTTGAACAGTCACTAAATGAACTGTAAGTCGAGGAGTACCTGTCATAGCAAATTTTGTCTTAGTGAAGTAGGCTGTTAGTAAGTTTGTTTAGGAGTAGAAGGAAAAAGAAGAAAAAGTCCAGAGCTGTGACTCTGAATAGCAATAGCACTTAAACTTATATACCGCTTCATAGTGCTTTACAGCCCTTTCTATATGGTTTACACAGTCAGCCTATTGCCCCCAACAATCTGGGTCCTCATTTTACCGACCTCGGAAGGATGGAAGGCTGAGTCAACCTTGAGCCGGTGAGAATCAAACTGCCGGCAGCCGCGTCGGTCGACTTAATCAGACGTCATGACGTAAAATTGGTGACGCGGTGGTGTCGAGAATCATTATTATTAGTACAACGAATACTAGGTTTATTCTCGTAAGTCAACTTACCCTGAATTAGGGATTGACTCTCACGTATCCCAGTATCAGACTTACACGGAAGTCTTATATTTTGTAAAAAAAAGACTAATGAATGCGATGGGAACATTTTACAAAATTTGCCCCCTTCATTCCACAATTGCCAAATCTGTCTCCTTTGCTATTGGCTGTTTCAAAGCAAACATTAGGTCCTTTCTTTGCTCCTACAAAATAAAATGAAAGTTCATTATTCTGTGTCGAGGACAACTCTGACACAAACAATGGATCACTACATCCTCTTGGCATCCCCGTAACACATAAACCAACAAAATCCCCACAAAATCTCTTAAGCAAACCCAAAGACCGCGTAAACAAAGAATGGGAATCATCAACAACGTGCAATATAAAGACTGTAACAGGCATTATTTAGAATAGACAGGTAGAAAATTGGCAGAATGCATCCAGGAACATCAACTGGCAGACAGAAGACATGATTCTTTAATCTCTCAAAACAAAAAAACTCACATTTTTAAATCTCTCAACATAGGAAAACTTAACCAGTTTCAACTGGGAAAAAGTACCACTTTAGATCAAACCAAATTGAAAAATTCCTGGAAGCTTGACATTCTGAGGAACCATCTATCAGCACATATAGAAATAACCTCATCTATGTGCTACAGGTAGTCCTCGACTTACGACAATTGAGCCTAGAATTTCTGTTGCTAACAGAGACAGTTGTTAAGTCAATTTTGTCCTAGTTTACGACCATTCTTGTCACGGCTGTTAAGTGAATCATTGTAGTTGTTACGTTAGTAACATAGTGGTTAAGTGAATCTGGCTTCCCCATTGACTTTACTTGTCAGAAAGTCGCAAAAGGGGATCACAGGATCCCGGGATACACTGCAACCATCATAAATGTGAGTCAGTTGTCAAGCATCCAAATTTTGATCATGTGACCGTGGAGATGCTGCAATGGTTGTAAGTGTGAAAAACGGTCTTAAGTCACTTTTATTCAGTGCAATTGTAACTTTGAACAGTCACTAAATGAATGGTTGTACATTGAGTACTACCTGTATTTAAAGGACTTAACTAAAAGTTAAGGAAGGAAACAAACATCCTGTCTAGCAACCAACACCCAAATAAGCAGGAAACAACACCAGATAAATGATCAGGGAAGAATAATATCCTAACTAAGAAACTTATCAAGAAAGTAACCACACCCCAACCAAGACTGACAGGGCAAACAACTAGCAAACCTCACTCTTCCACACACTGATGACATTACTTAGCTTGATGACAAAACATCTATAGGAAAGCAACCAAGCTTGTAGAACAGCAAGAACTCAACAGATCAACTCCAAATTAAATATATTCTTTACTATTGGAATAAAAAAAATCATTTTGAAATAGTAATCATCTACATTCCAAAACATAAACACTTTCTATATAACTTCTGCCAGTTTATTATTGGTTCTATAAGTCACAAATGATTTAAACCATACCTTTTCCAAAGAGGGATTCACACTGAGAATCATAATTCTCGCAAATTCCACTGTAACAGTAATCTTTCATATTGTTACATGGGTAGCCATCCATGACATACACGTCTTCTGGACAGTCATAAAAGGTCCCATTGCAATATTCAGGGAGATCACAGATATTTGATTTTGGTCGACACTCCACTCCTGCTACCTTGAACTTGAAAACAATTGTATTGATTTTATTGATTTCTAATTGTAATACATTGACAGCATTCATGTGCCTTTAACGATATAGGAGAAGGAGAAAGAGGTTTGTGAAAAGGAAAGAGCTGTTGGAATAATTCCTGGACCAAACCACTGGAATAGTATGCCAAAGATCAGATTACTAATTGTATAGAAAAACCAAACCAAACCCACAAGATATATTGCTGTTTCAGTTATACTCTATTATATTACACCCAACAACCAACATTTATTGCCTGTATGAGCACAGTCACATGGCTGCACTGAAATGCAAATGTATCAGTCCTTGAGCGAGCAGAATTAGACTATCCACATTGCTGATCTGTACAGTACCTCAGTACCAAAGTCAGTTGGTGCAACTGTCCTTACTTAAACATAGAACAACTGGTGGATTTCTCCAGCTTAGTTTTCTTTCTTACTAAGCATATTTACCAGCTTAGCCTTCCTACATGACGATGGACGAACAGTTGGCACAATTTATCCCACAGGATTACTGTAAAGGGTTGTTGTGAAGAAGGATAGATATCTCCTTGAGCTTTGGGAAGAAGTCAGGATATAAATAAATAAGTGAATTAATTAATTAATTCAGACTGTAGAATTACAACTAGGGTACGGGACCTTGGAGAGAAGGTCACCGCCCAATAAGCAAGGAAGGAGGATAGCTACAGATAGAGATAGAGACATATGGATATATTTTCATATATCTAGCTGTTGGATTTTTCAGACATGATCATTCCTTTTTTCCATTCTCTCCCTCCCTCCTTCTTTCTCCTTCTGAGAATATAATTTACTGGAAAACTAGAATGTATGTATGTATGTATATATATATATATATGTATGTATGTGTAGCAGGGCTGTCTGAGAGTGTTTGCAGGAGCTTGGTTGGGAAGGGAGAGATTGGGACAGCTGCTGCTGGCTTTGGGTGTGGCCGGCGTGGGCGGAAGAAAAAGATAGAAAAGGGAAGGAAAGGAAAGGGGTGTGGTGTGGCTGTTGCAGTTTGTCAGGTGAAGGTAAAGAGGAAGTGAAAGTTTTATTTGCTTTTCTTCGTAAGGAGGATATTTTAAACAGAGGCTAGAGCGAGGGGGAGTGGGATTTTATTGCTTTCCTTTGTAAGGAGGGCATCTCAAACGGAGAAGAGAGAGAGAGTGGAGTTTTATTGCTTCCTTCGTAAGGAGGATATCTCAAACGGAGGCAAGGGGGAGCGTGTAAAAAGGAGTTGGCTGAGGCTCATAGCCTCGGATTTTAGCAATAAAGATCAAGGGGAGAGGGAGGGTTTTGACGCTGAGACCTGACTGAGAAGAAGCAACAGAAGGAGAGGAGAGACTGGTGGTGGTTACTGTTGCTGCGAAACCTGGAGGCTATTTGGACTGTGACTATTGTTGCTGGTACAGGTTTTAGACTTTGTGGGGGGAGTTGCCCTGGGGGGCGAGCTATTGCTATAGCACACTGACTGTTGTTGTTTCTATTACCGTCTGGAGCCGGGGTTTTCCTCCATCCCACTTGACTCTGAATCCTTAATTCCTGCTGCTATAACGGCCTTGGGCTGTTGGATATCATCATAGCATTGACTATCGTGGCTGGTTATTTCGTTCCTGGAAGCCCCTCCTTGACAACAAGAGCCTGCTACCTCCTAATTCTGCATGGGCTCCAACTGGAAGAGACATCTTATCAACCCCTAGAGAACACTACTGCAGGGCTTGACAAAGGGGGCTGGGGCTGGGAGGGCCTGGGTTTTGGCAGCCTCTGAGGAGGTAACGCTACATAAATATGTATGCATGCATGCATGTATTCAAAGTGAATTTTCATTAGAATAGACCTGAAGCAGTCAGCTAATTTTTATTTACTTAATTTCTATTGTTGCCCAACTCAACTAAGTGACTCTGGGCAGCAACTAATCCTTGTTGTGTGACATACATACATACACAGTTCTAAGAAAATGCATTTGTCTTCTCTGGGATTGTCTATTTTTTGCATTCTTTTGCCATCAAATATTATCAGAGTTTCAGATAGATCTTAGTGATACATACAGTATAAGAAATTTGAATGAACAAATACCAAAGTTTGGTGCTTGTTTCATTTGTTGTATTTAAAAGGTCATCCCATAAGTGATATGCCACACAATAGAAGACCCATCCTTTTTACATGCATCAAAGCCGTAAAGTTTTGATAGTGTAATCACAGATGCCATCCTGAATTTTTTTCATCTCCCTCTAATGCTCATGCATGTAACAGTAATAAGATGTTACTGTATACATAAACACATACATACAATATTCATGGATAATAAATTCAAAACAAACATACCTTAAGAATATATTAACTCTGCAATTCTATGTATATTTAAATGTTGGGGTAAACTTGCCGAACATTTAATACAAAACATGCAAGCACAGGATTGTACTGCACATCTACACAAAGGATCATCTATGTTACCTGACACTTTTCACAGCACAATCCTTCAGCACATGCTGATCCACGTGTTAGCTTGCAGCTGGCAGCATCACAACAAGGATTGGTACATTCCTGTTAAGAAAATGACTTTGGTGGGATATTCCACGATCAACTGTTGAAGAAAACTTTCATTGGACTCAATAAGATTAATATTCTCCCCATTGGGATGCGACTAAAAGAATTTTAAAAAACATTCCTGCAGAACTTTGCTTTTTAATCCAAATCATTTTTTTTTTAAAAACCCACCCATTTATAATTATATAGTAAAATCAGTGTTTTATAAACACCTGAAAAAAGTGCTCGTTGGTGAGGAACCTTCTTTTTCTAATGTGATTACTGCAAATTTTTACTTTATATCATTAAGGGAAGATTTGATAGAGAAAACAAAACTGCATGGATAGTGGCATAGATCAGTGGCATTCTCTGTGCTATCACCATGAGGCTAAACAAGATAGAAACTTTTTGTCAATGTAGAGCATTCTTATTTTCAAAAATTGCATTGTTCTTGCATTAGGCTAGGGGTCTTCAAACTTGGCCCTTTTATGACTTGTGGACTTCAACTCCCAGAATGAGGAATTCTGGGAGTTGAAGTCCACAAGTCATAAAAGGGCCAAGTTTGAAATCCCCTGCATTAGGCCATTATCAAGGTACCACTGAGGAACAAAGTATAGCAATGAGCCTGATATTACTATGCAATGCTTCATTTTCAATTCCAAAAAGCTGTGATGGGACGCAAATGCAATATCTATCTATATCTCCTTAAAGCAACTGTATCTTTTCCTGATTTCTAAAAAGGATGAGCCTGTGGATCCAGAAAAAGACGTAGCTGTGCTAAGGAGTTACATAAAAATCCTTGTAGGATTAGCTCTAACCCTAACCCTAACCCTCAGTTAGCATTTTAGAACAGAATTTGGAGCTTTGCATAGTCCTAGTATTGATGTCTATGTGTGTGTATAATTCTATCATATCAATATTTTAAAATATAAATATAAATTACCTACTTTTGGAGTGCCACAGTCACATTCTTCATTCCTATCCACAATGTTATTGCCACACATGGGCTCTGTAAATATATCACTTGGCTTTGGAGAATTTCTGAGACAGCTTCCTCCACCTCTCAAGATAAGTTGCTCAAAATCACTAGAGCTGCAGCTGCTGAAGTTCCTGGACCCGCTAGAAAGAACAATTTTTCCAGGATATGGAGTAATCTATTGCCCATTTTGTGCCTAAATTTTATTGAGTTTACATTTCTACAATTGTACTATACTTCATCGTAACACTAAAGTAGTGTTTCCCCACCTCAAAATAAGCCCATTTATAACTCTGAGAGAGGGTACATGATATTGTGAGCCAGAAACTGGCCAATTGTTGAAATGGGGAAATATTGGGGAATTACTGCACTGTAATTCCTCTAATAGGCTTGTCATAATTGAAAAAAAAGAAAACTTCAAGTCTGCCCCCCCCAATCCAGACAAGAATGAAAAGCCCAGCTGTCTGCACCCAGATGATCCCTTGATTTTCCTTTAAAACAGGAGTGTCAAACTCGCAACGTCACGTGACGTGTCGCGACGTACCGTGACTTTTTTGCCATTGCCGGCAATGGGGTGGGCGCCGTTTCACTATGATGCATCCGGCCCGTGGGCCAGCAGTTGGACACCTCTGCTTTAAAATGTTAGGCCAGTTTCATAACTTGCACATGTGTCTCAGATTGATGAGTCACAATGAAAGCTATGACTTCATTTTTTTCCTCTGGCAACATTTCTTATTCATGACTTGGCACCATGAATGTGTAAATTAACTTAGCATCCATTCCAAGGGTGGGGAATCTCTATCCATTGTTTGTCTGCAATCTCTAGGGTAAAGATTGAGGCTATGATCGTGCTCTGTCTTTCAGAAGCTTCCTCTCAGTTCAAGATTTTAAAATGAACGGCTCCATACGGAATTTGTTACTTAGAACTATCCTAATTTATCACCTCTGCCCAGATCATTTTCCAAAGAAACAGCAGTTCATCGTTTTCTCTTTAATCAATTAAGACAAGTTTAGGGAGGACTGAAATTTGTTTGTTTGTTTTGATCAATATAACTGGCTAGGCTCCATGGGATTTGACAAGTATTTCGGATGCTTAAAGTCCTTGTCAAAGTCTTTACCTTCTCCAGGAATGAAAATAACTTATAAATAGAATGATTATTAGCATGTACAGGTAGTCCTCAACTTATAACAATTTGTTTGGTCACCATTCGAAGTTACAAGGGAACTGAAAAAAGAGACATGACCATTTTTCACGTTTACGACCGTGGCAGCATCCTCATGATCACATGATCAAAATTCAGACACTTGGCAACTGACTCATATTTATGATGGTTGCAGGGTCCTGGGGGTCATGGGATCCCCTTTTGTAACCTTCCAACAAGTGAAGTCAACAGGGAGACCAGATTCACTTAACAACCATGTTACTACCTTAACTGTGGTGATTCACTTAACAACTGTGGCAAGAAAAGGTGTAAAATGGGGCAAAACTCACTTAACAACTGTCTCACTTAGCAACAGAAAGTTTGGGCTCGATTGTGGTCATATGTCAATGCTAATCAACATGCATGCAACCTGACAAATATATGGATGGCTGTGAACCCTTTGGACAGCACCCTTTTTGTATCTTTTTGTTAGATTAATATTCCAACTTTAGTCCAATGCAATGCTTGATCCTAAAGTCTCTAATTGATCAAACACCAACAAAGAATTGGCATATTAAACTTAATATATAAATAAAATAAAAACCAAGCCTATGTAAAAATAATGTTAAGCAAATGTTCTTACTTATCTGAACTGTGCATTATATAGGTGTTTGGACATCTTCCATCATCATGATTCATACCAAGATTATGTCCCAACTCATGCGCAACCACTGTAGCTTGATTTATGGCAGAGTTGTGATCAAACTGGCAGAAATATCAGCATTGTTAGCATAGGGTGGGGAATGGGGGATGATTCTTTTTTAAACAAGAAAAATAGCAACCGCACAGAATAGAAAATAACAGCTGAGCTAGACAAATCAAAGTCTGTTTCATTTTATTTCCCCTAAGAACTCCAAATTCTGATGGGAAGAAGCCCACAATTAGGAGATGAGCACAATGTTAGTTGCAGAATTCCACTGCAGCTCAGTCTTGGCACAGCATATCATCACTAGGACTCTTTTTTAAGAACATCTCAGCAGGTAGCAATTATGACAGTTCATGGTAATGATTTGCATACCGTAGTTAGGAAAAATTTTTGAAACACTTCCTCTTTCCCTGTTCTTAATTAGACTACTTATTTTTTTTAAAAAAAAATCTGTTTTCATTTTTTACCTATTGCATACAATTTTATAAAGCTCAGTCATGTTGCCTCTTACCAGCCTTTTGTTTATCATAAAAAGCCTTATTATTTTAAGCTTTCTCTATAGAGAATGGTCTCCTTCATGGATTACTGCCTTGTCGTGGCGAAGGGGCTTGCGTAACTCAATGAAGCTATGAGCTATGCCGTGCAGGGCCACCCAAGATGGACAGGTCATAGCAGAGAGTTCTGACAAAATGTGATCCACTGGAGAAGGAAATGGCAACCCACTCCAGTATGTTTGCCATGAAAACCCTATGGACAATACCAAAAGGCAAAAAGATATGACGCTGGAAGATGAGCCCCTCAGGTCGGAAGGTGTCCAATATGCTACTGGGCAAGAGCAGAAGGCTAGTACTAGTAGTGCCAGAAAGAATGAAGCGACTGGGCTAAAGCCGAAAGGACGCTCAGCTGTGGATGTATCTGGTGGTGAAAGGAAAGTCCGATGCTGTAAATATCTTTTCTCCATAGGAACCTGAAATGTAAGATCCATGAATCAAGGCAAGCTAGATGTAGTCAAACAAGAGATGACAAGACTGAACATCGACATCTTAGGAATCAGCAAACTAAAATGGACAGGAATGGGTGAATTTAACTCAGATGACCATCAGGTATACTACTGNAAACACTCTTTTCCAACAACCCAAGAGACGGCTCTACACATGGACATCACCAGATGGTCAACACAGAAATCAGATTGACTATGTGCTCTGCAGCCAAAGATGGAGAAGCTCTATACAGTCAGTAAAAACAAGACCAGGAGCTGACTGTGGCTCAGATCATGAGCTTCTCGTTGCAAAATTTAGGCTTAAATTGAAGAAAATGGGGAAAAGCACTAGGCCACTCAGGTATGAACTAAATCATATCCCTGATGAATATACAGTAGAGGTGACAAATAGATTTAAGGAATTAGATCTGATAGACAGAGTGCCTGAAGAACTATGGACGGAGGTTCGCAAAATTGTACAAGAGGTAGCAACTAAAACTATCCCAAAGAAAAAGAAATGCAAGAAAGCAAAATGGCTGTCTGAGGAAGCTTTGCAAATAGCTGAGGAAAGAAGGGAAGCGAAAGGCAAAGGAGAAAGAGAAAGATACACCCAATGCAGAATTCCAGAGAATAGCTAGAAGAGATAAGAATACTTTCTTAAATGAACAGTGCAAAGAAATAGAAGAAAACAACAGAATAGGGAGGACCAGAGATCTCTTCAAGAAAATTGGAGATATGAAGGGAACATTTCATGCAAAGATGGGCATGATAAAGGACCAAAATGGCAGAGACCTAACAGAAGCAGAAGAGATTAAGAAGAGGTGGCAAAACTACACAGAAGAACTATACAAGAACGAGCTTAATGTCCCAGATAACCACGATGGGGTGGTCACTGACCTCGAGCCAGACATCCTAGAATGTGAAGTGAAATGGGCCTTAGGAAATCTGAGCAACAACAAAGCTAGTGGAGGTGACAGTATTCCAGCTGAGCTATTCAAAATCTTAAAAGACGATGCAGTAAAAATGCTACACTCAATTTGCCAGCAAATTTGGAAAACTGAACAGTGGCCAGTGGCCAGTGGCAGGAAAAGGTCAGTTTACATTCCAATTCCAAAGAAAGACAATGCCAAAGAATGTTCAAACTATTGCACCATTGCACTCATTTCACATGCTAGTAAACGTATGCTTAAAATCCTACAATCTAGACTCCAGCAGTATGTGGGTCGAGAACTACCAGAAGTACAGGCAGGATTTCGAAGAGGCAGGAACTAGAGATCAAATTGCCAACATACGCTGGATCATGGAGAAAGCTAGGGAGTTCCAGAAAAACATCTACTTCTGCTTCATTGACTATGCTAAAGCCTTTGATTGTATGGATAACAACAAATTGTGGCAAGTTCTTAAAGAGATGGGAGTACCAGACCATCTTATTTGTCTCTTGAGAAACCTATATGTGGGTCAAGAAGCAACAGTGAGAACTGGACACGGAACCACTGATTGGTTCAAAATTGGGAAAAGAGTCCGGCAAGGCTGTATACTGTCACCCTGCCTATTTAACTTATATGCAGAGCACATCATGAGAAAGGCAGGGCTAGATCAATCAAAAGTTGGAATTAAGATTGCTGGGAGAAATATCAACAACCTAAGATATGCAGATGATACCACTCTAATGGCAGAAAGTGAAGAGGAACTAAAGAGCCTCTTGATGCAAGTGAAGAAGGAGAGTGCAAAAGTTGGCTTGAAACTCAACATTAAGAAAACCAAGATCATGGCATCCGGCCCTCTCAGTTCCTGGCAAATACATGGGGAAGAAATGTAGGTAGTAACAGATTTTATTTTCCTGGGCTCAAAGATCACCTCAGTTGGGGACTGCAGCCAAGAAATTAAAAGACGCTTGCTCCTGGGGAGGAAAGCTATGGCAAATCTAGAAAGCATACTAAAAAGCAGAGACATCACCCTGCCAACAAAAGTGCGTATAGTCAAGGCCATAGTTTTCCCAGTTGCAATGTATGGATGCGAAAGTTGGACCATAAGAAAGGCTGAGCGACAAAGAATTGAGGCCTTTGAACTATGGTGCTGGAGAAGACTCCTACGAGTCCCTTGGACTGCAAGACGTTCAAACCGGTCAGTCCTAGAGGAGATCAATCCTGACTGCTCTTTAGAAGGCCAGATCCTGAAGTTGAAACTCAAATACTTTGGCCCCCTAATGAGAAGGAAGGACTCACTGGAGAAGGGCCTAATGCTGGGAAAGATTGAGGGCAATAGAAGAAGGGAACGACAGAGAATGAGGTGGCTGGATGGAGTCACTGAAGCAGTAGGCGTGAACTTAAATGGATTCCAGAAGATGTTAGAGGACAGGAAGACCTGGAGGAATGTTGTCCATGGGGTCGTGATGGGTCGGATACGACTTCGCAATTAACAACAACAACATAGAGAAAGGTCTCCTTTGGGTTACTTTTCTCTGTTCCCGGTGTGCTAGCATTAGACTTTGTAGGTGTTCAGCATGACTTTGTCAATGGGTTAACAGTCAACACCAATGTAGGCATCTGCCAAGTGCGTCTGCTTTCCACAAGAATCTAGATACAGTGTTGAATGTTCACACAATGTAACAGATGAAAATGTTCTCTATGTAAAAGACTCTATGTTTACAACTGAGACAGAATATTATACTTACAGTAGTGATTGATCCTCCATGATCTGCACTACAAACTGTGCCAACGAAAGCCATTCCAACTGTTTTATCGTATGGCCTTCTCCCTCTGAAATGCAGGAACAGATTGAGGGTGACATGGGTTGAGATCCATCTCCAAACTGAATAATGTACACATAAACATTTCCTTTATTTATACACATTTTGGTACACACACACACACACAAACCACACGCATAAAGTATGTCCCTTGCTTCCCTGACCTTTTCAGATGCTACGGTATTTTAACATCCTGGAAAAAGTTATTGAATTGGATTCGAGATGCATTGGATCCTCGGCCCTTTATTTAATTTCATTTGATTTTAAGACAGATATAATGTCTTTGGCAGACTGAGTATCCCGTCTTTTATGTTAATGGCAGACAGATATAATTATCCATATGGTATCTTTCCCTATCTTAGATTAATTCTATGCCATGTTAATGATAATTTAATTAATCTATTGCATGAGAATTTTAAACTTCTTTATCCTTTATTTATAATATACTATAATGGTATAAAATATACTATGTTCAAAAATTAAAAAATAAACTTGAAACGTATTTTGGCTTATATTCTAATATCTAAGAAAAATATATTTTCTTAGGCAATTAGCAGCCAAAAATTATTTTTAAATCCCTGCCAATCCCCACAAACATCCACAAGCATATCGACCAAAATCATTCCCTAAATGATATTGAGATATAAATTCCTAAAATTACTGGAATATTACAACTGTTGAATTTTCATTTTGTTCTCAATATTCAAATATATCTGTATGTATGATATAAAGGAAAATCCTTACATGATGAGATGACCAACATCATTTCTTGATCTCGTAATAAGATTTGTTTTCCTCCAAGTGACAAATTTGCCCAACACATCTCCAGCTGAATCGCCTCCCACATCTATCTGGTTTCCACTTGTCCATATTTCCAATCCAATTAGGACAACTTGTATGTTTAAGGGATGGAACATCTGTAAATATACATTTGTTGCTATTATGTAGGTTTCAGTAAATTTAGATAATTTCTTCCAAACTGTTCCATCTCTGGCACTAAGCTGGTGGGAAATATGCCATGCAAAGAAGTATATCTAGTTAGCCTGAAGCCAATGAATGTGCAGTCAGCACACTGACTATGCTTACATGTTGAACTCATAGTCCACTTTACCTATGAGTTAAAAAACAAACCATAATTGACATAATGCATTACCAAAAGGCAGAGTTCATAAGCTCCAAGGTTGTGATTTGCGAACCTGGTTACTTAAGGATATTTTCTTTGTTTGAACAGATTCCACAACATGCACAAATGTGCACCCACTGCGGCTTTGTTGTAAATAATTCCTGCTAACGCATACAAACACTTCTCCAGAATTATCACTCTTAATATGAATTATGCTGCATATATAGTTGAACAGCTATGTTCATTCATTCATTCATTCAGAAGCAAAAGAAGTAATGCAATAACCCAACATTTTGATCCAAAAGTTCCTGTCTTTCAAAATGTACTAGTTATGTTCTTACAAACTATTTGAGATAACAAAGGGGTAAAGTTCGTAGCAGGAGGAATCTTTGTGCAATCATGAAAGGTGAGCTAGAAAAATCTTCCTACAGCAGATTAATTTGCATAAGAATTGTGTGACTTCAAGAAATAGGATTGTGTAAGAAAGCAAGTCCTGATCTCTGAAATGGGATACTAATACTTATAGAAAAGGTCCCATTTATTCATCATTATGCAATAAAGGAAGGTGACATTTTATAGGCTATTGAGGTGAACGTCTCTCGATAAACTGCTACTCTCAATATATTAAAAAATATATAATCCCTGTTTCCCTAATTGTCATAATAATTACATTGTTTAACATGCAGTGTTTTTCTAATACTGGGGAAAATGTCAAGTCACATAGACTAGAAAAAGGTTAGGTTGTAAATCCCAATCAGTTCAGGAAATATAAGAAGCTCATTTACTCTTAAACTTGTTTCTCTGTGTAAGCAAGATTAAAAAATGATAATGAAATAAATAGTTGCAACTTAGCCCAATTTTATTTATTTATTAAAAAATTGTGCTGCCCACTGCAACAACTCTTAATACTTAATTACATATAATTGACATGCAATTTTTACATAAAAGAGAACAATTCTAAAACTGTTTCAAGTAATATTAAAGGTAAATATTAAAATTTTGAAGACAGCAGTAGGTTTTAAGTCCTATTTGGAAGAATAACAAGAAGGCGCCTGCCATAATTCATATATATATAGATTCCTTTAATGGATCACAATCTCATTCTTACAAATATATTTGCTTTTGTCTGTATATATATATTATGAAGTCAACAGCAAACAAAGCCTAACTATAAACTGAATTATGTTACATAAATAGTATCTAATTTTTGCAGCAGCAGAATGTAAAAGTAACTTCTGTATCTTGGATCTGGTTTTTTTTAAATCTATATTGTGACCAGCTTCAGTTATAGAAATTTCATTATTATCTATTTTTTATTTTCTCTTAAAATGTAACATAACAAACGAATAACAAAATATGCTGACTTACCCCATCTACATAATTAATCAATTCAACTGTTTCTTTCTGTACAGCTTCAACAGTTCTTTTGAATATATACTGAAACAATTAAAGAAAGAAGACATATTCTAATCAGGAAAGGCAATTAGAAATTTTTTTTAAAAATCCCCAGCAATGTCGGTCCACCAAAAAATCCAAAATCTAAAATACTGTGCCTTCATATGGACCAATCAACTTAACACAACTTAAGTATCATTACATTAAGACCATTAGTCATCTATTTATCTCCTGCCGAGGAAGAAACTCAACTTTTTGTCCTGGCAGAAATAAAAACTTATAACTGTGTTCATATCAGCAATGTAACCACAGAGAAATTCTGGATTATTAAAGCTAAAGATATTTGGCTCAGAGAAATTACCCTGTTTTTATCAACAACCATATAGAGTTCGATGTATCGTTTATCTGGCAGCACATTTCTTCTTTTCTGTAAAATTGAAAACAGACCCCCATTACATAACTGTTTTATTTGAAATTAGTTCAAAATTATAGTTCAAAAATTAAGTAAAAAGTTAACACCAGGCATTTGAAGCCAATTGATGATGTGAACTATTGTGGTCTGAAAATAACCAATCTCATTTAGGTCAGTCAAACAATTGTTTTCAAAATCAAATCAAATCAAACTTCCTTGTTTACTTTTAGTATTTCAATTCAAACTGTGAAGCAACAGTACATTTTCCCCCTTTTTTTCCAGCCAAATTACTTGAATTTGACGTTAGGTGAAGTAATTCAAGTTACAGAATTTAAAATTATTATTCTATTTTTGTTCCCCCACCCACCCCCACTTTCTAAGCATTATTTAATTTCAGAAAGAAATAACATGAGGAAAAATGTCATTGGTGTGAAATACCGTACATAATTTGTTAAAAGCAAAAGAACTGTGGCTAATATCTAGAATACGTAGATTAAAGCATGCAACATATGAAAAGCAATATAAAAATACATTTACCCTTCGAAGAGTGTCCTTACTGAACGGACTATGTGATACATTAGTGTATTTTAAAATATGTTCATGATACCGGTCATCACTTTGTACACCACAGGAAAAAGGTTCATGAGATTTATCTAATACATAAAGAAAGTGTTCAAATTTATTTGATCCTTTAACTGGCTCCATGCCATATTTTTTGTCACCAATATAGAGAATTCCCCTAAAAAGCACAAGAAAAGTTATTTGATTAAAGGCCAGCTATATAAACAAAAATAACCATGAATAAGTACCACCATGTAATACACAGCAATATGACAGTACAATTCTGCTAGTTTCTCAATGAGGAAATATAATGATATGTCTTTAGATACAGGTAGTTCTTGATTTACAATCACAATTGAACCCAGAATTTATGTGGCTAAATTAGAAGTTTGTTAAGTGAGTTTTGTCCCATTTTACAACTTTGGTTAAGTGAATCACTGCAGTTGTTAAATTAGTAGCATGGTTGTTAAGTGAATCTGGCTTGTCAGAAGGTCGCAAAAGATGGTCACATGACCCCGGAACAATGCAACCATCATAAATATGAACCAATTGTCAAGCATCTGAATGTAAATCACGTGACCATGAAGATGTTGTAATGGTCATAAGTGTGAAAAATGGTCATAAGTCACTTTTTCCAGGGCCGTTGTAACTTTGAACGGTCACTAAACAAACTATTGTAAGTTGAGGACTACCTGTATAGGGTGAATTAATATCAGATTCAGTTTTGGCACAAATATCTAGAAGTTTACACATTTTGGAAGACCAGATAACTTTCCTAAATTCCAATAATGTAAACTAGGCATAGGAACCTCTAGCTCTCCAAATGTTCATGAAATACATTCTCTCATTCTCCTTCACCGTTGGCCTTATTGGCTGTGACTACTGGGAGTTATTCTTCCGCAAATACTGGAAGGCCATAACCATCCTTTTTATTTACGCCCAATATTCAAAATAGCAACGTATTGTCTCTTATCAGCCTTTTTCAACCTGGCCTTCTCCCAATGCTAGAACTTTCAATCAGTATGGCTAAAACCAAGGATCGTAAGAATTATAGCTCTAACACATCTGGACTCTTCATACTTTCAAAAGTAATATGAAGATGATCCATGATTATTTTCACGGTTGCTGAACTGAAATACCGGGAGAAAAAAAAGCAAAAACCACTAGCCTACTCTAAGCTACTGCTACATTCCACTATCATAACACTTCCTTATTCTCCAAACACTCCATGCATAGCAAAACGAAGCTTTTGTTGTATCTGCTATGATTGTGGAATGGGACAATCCTGAGCTTTCCCAACTCTAATATTCTATGATTAAATGAAAGAATAAGAAGAATAGAGGAGAGTGGGCATCTTAGTTATCTAGTTATCTCCTTTTGCATCCCAGTATTAAAGGAAGAATGGAGACAGACAAAACATTTTGTTTTGGCTACTACAGAGGGGATAAGTTCCCCTTATTCGACTGAAAGCTCAGAAGCAGAGATTGGATGAAACAAGACACAAAACAACGCAGTAGGTTCAGCTATACCACAGCTCAGTCAGAAATGCCTTAGCAAAACTCTCCAAAACAACTTATACTTGTGGGAATATCGATTGCAGAGTTGATTTCAAATTAACACAGAATATGAAAGTGCTCTAGGCTTCACTTTCTTCTATTGTATTGAAAACTATCTGTCTCTATTTATTGATAAAAGGAAAAAAGAAGGATTATACCTAAGGCCATCACAGGTACTGAGAGCAAGCAGAGAATCTGGAACTCCTTCAACATTTCCATGGTAGTAACAGTGGGTCTGAAACCAAATAATTAACAGCAGTTTTCTCAGGCAAATAGTAAATGCAGTTTATTATCTGATGGAAATAAGTATGCCATACAGTTAGCCCTCAAACTATAGCTACGACTTTAGTAATTTCTGTTACTAAACAAGGCAATTGTTAAGTGAGTTGTGTCCGATTTTATGATCTTTTTTGCCATGGTTGTTAAGTAAATCACTGCAGTTGTTAAATGAATCATGCAGTTGTTAAGAAAATCTTCCCCCATTCATTTTGCTTGTTGGAGCTAGCTGGGAAGGTCAAAAATGGAGATCACATGACTCCAGGACATTGAAACCATCGTAAATACATGCTGGTTGCCAAGTGCCCAAATTTCAATCATGCTGCAATATTTATAAGAGTGAGGACTAGTTGTAAGCCATTTTTTTCAGTGCCATTGAGCAGTTGCTAAATGAATGGTTGTAAGTCAAGGAACTATCCGCATTTACTCAGTTCCTAAGACATCTATTACAGAGCTCTATGGATTCTAATGCAACTAATGTTTATCTTGCTACTTAAAATTAATATATATAACATGATCAAAGCCAACAGAAGCACAACAGTAAGTTGATTGCTCTGGAGCAATGCAGAGTTCTTTTCATTTCCTGCTTTTCTTCCAGCCAAGCATCGCTTGAAAAGAGAGGTCCATGCATGTACTTAAACCCAGCCATTTTATTTTCCTACGAATGACACATGTGAAAGGGAAAGTGTTAAAAGGAAAGAAGATGATAAATCTCCACGATATGCTTACCTCCATGGAGGTTTCTCATTTTCTTTCCTTTGTGTCTCAGAGAAAATGAGACGAACATATGGATCATTATAAATAATTTCTTGTTATGGTTTAAAACAATTAAGATATAATGGTTCTCTGGATCATTTTTATATAAAGGATATAGCAACAGGGCTTTTATAGTGTGCTTGCGTAGTATGATGTGATTTGCTGGTTTTTGCTCAATGTAATGTACAAACACTAAACTGCTGCTATTATAGTTAAGTACACCTGAGGGCATAGGACTGTTCTATAAAATACAAAACAGTGTGCATTCTAACTTTGATTTTCACAGAATTAGGGAACTATCGATTGCTTTCTAGATATAGTTTTTCCCCCATTTTTTTTAAAAAAAGCTTTCCTGCATTCGAAGAAAAGCAATATCAAAGAGCTGGGGTTATCTCTGCAGAAAAATGTACATTAAATAATTTAATAGTCAAAACCTCCAAGGCCTTGGGGGCTCCAGGACAGCCAAACTCAATACAAGTGAGTAGTCTTTGATACCATGTTTTGCATAAAATTCAGCCAAGACAATCATAATGTTTTAATTGGCCCAAACAGTGAGAAGCTACACTTTAGCAAGGTTTGCTGGAAGTTCAGATCTAATCCTGGACTTCTTTTTGGAATGGAATTTTCTCAGCTTCAAATCCACTCCTCTATGAGCACTAATGCCTTAAAATGGCAGCCTTTTAGGTTTTCAAAAAGCATTTTTATTAGCAGATAAAGTTATTGGTAAAAAGATCAACTCAGATAACAAATTACCAAGTTAATTATTCAACTCTCATTTGATACTGATGGCAATGAGTTGACCCAGTGCTTAAAGGAAGTGAATTGTACAGTATTTTTTGGATCCATGATGTCTATCCCTCCCGCCCCCAATAGGAAGAATATTCTAGGCATGCTATTCTCTGTGGGAATCCTAGAGCATCATTCAGAAATATCTGAAGCTCAGGTTCCCAGGCAGATTCAGACTGAGTAGTAAAGTTTCTTATAAAATTGGTTGTTAGTTGTATGCTAAAAATACTGCTAGTAAAAGAATATACTTTCGTAAGATATATTGTTTAACTTCCCAGACTATTAATCATCATAGCAAAGGAGGAAATACAGTGTATTCCAAGAACCAAATGTGACAAAATAGCCCTGGCAGAGAAAAGTAGTTCTCGGGAATTGAATGACATTATCTTCTCCTTGTGTTTCACACTTGCTAGAATACAACTCACACCATATCCAGCTAGTAGGGCCATTAGAAAAGGTTTTGTACAACCAAAGTCTTATTTAGTCATTTATTTTTTTACCTTCCCTTCAGGAACTCAAGAAGGTATATCTATCGCTGTTTATGCTTCCCATTTATCAAAATAGATGGCTCAGCAATTAAAAATGCTGAGCTAGTCAGCTGGAAAGCTGGCAGCCTGAGTTCAAGACCCATGTGCGGTGTGACAGAGTGTGCTCTTGTTACTTGTTCCAGTTCTTGCCAATCTAGCAGTTTGAAAGCATGTAAATGTGAGTAGATAAATAGGTACCATTTCAGTGGAAAGGTAACAGTGTTTTGTGCACCTCGGTGTATATTCATGCTGGTCACATGACCACAGAAGTGTCTTTGGACAGTGCTGGGTCCCTCAGCTAAGAAATAGAGATGACCACTGCCCCTAGATTCAGACACAACTGCTACAGGGGAAACTTTAATAATAAAAACTAGAATAGAAAGTTGTCTTCTTCACAGATACAACATACCTGAGTTTCCACAGGAGTACTCTCCAGCTTGCCCTCTTGGTTATAAGTATATATTGTGAATTTTTCCCCAAGAAGGTTTCTGCAGCAAATTTCAATTCAATCGTATTTTAAAATGCAGGTTATTCATCAATGAATGATAACAATACAATACTTTAATACACTGGTCAAAGTAAAAGTAAAATTTATCCATGATATTTTAATGAAATATAAACTGAATTTGGTTTTTTTTTTAAAAAATATATTAAGTAAACATTCAAGCATTTTTAAATACGGAAATCTAATCATTTTCAGCAATGGTAGTGCCATATCCTGTTAATCCACCATGCAAAGTAATGTTAAGCTAAAATGTAATATTAAGCAATGAATTAATAATACAATAATGAACAATAATTAATTATTATTATATAATATTATATAATTATATAAGAAATAGAAGCATCCAATGTAGTTTAGCAAAGATTTCAGTGGTAGATCTCAGAATGTAATTCTATACTATGATACCCTTCCATCATTTTAAGAGTTTCCCTGGTCAATAGGAATAATAAGGAACACCTTCATTACCTAAATCACAGACCCCAGGAGTTCTCACCTTTATTATGCAATTACCCTGCTTTATTCATCATTTAAAAGCCAGCCAATATTATCCTGCATTTATAATATTTTGATTTTTTTCTATCACTATTTTCATAATTTATGGTTCAAGTGAAAATCAAGGTGGAAAAGAAGAAATAACTATGCAGTGCCTTGGAGCTTAGTGCTAGATGTAGCCCTGCAATATCTTTGTGCCAAAATTAATTATACAATTGTTATTGTGTAATAGTCTTAAAATGCCAAGTATTTTGAGCAAGCAGCATCCCAGATGTTATATATCCTGAGTATCTTTCACAAGGTACTCCTATGGCTTGCTTATTCAAGTCATCCACTAATCATGTAAGATTTCCTTACTGAAAGGAAACTAACCCAATTCAATTAACCTATTTTGCTGTTTCTAAGTCTTATTTAATCATCCCATTGATCCAGTTATGCTTCTCATGTAAATGGAGCAATGGAGATGTTCCAATAGATATATGATTCAAAGTAAGATTTTATGATTTAGATATAGGTTTCTTGGTCTTTTGCTTATTTACTTTTTATTTATTTATTTATTACTCATTACTTATGGGGTGCTGCTTGTTGTATAGCTTTAACGTGCCCCTCCCATTTTTTGTTTGTTATGTTTTGTCCTTAAATGTTCTGAAATGACATTACTTTCTTGTATCATTTTCACTGTATGACCTAATGTTCCACTGAACTAAATCCAGTTCAGCTAGACTGTGGATTCCCATCTGTTTCTCATCTGCAAAAGCCATCTGCATTTTACAAAACTTTTCATTCTGATAACATATACTCATAAAACACAGGATCCACACCCAAAATATTTTCTCTCCTCGGGCACCTACAGTAAAGTTATCTCAGCTCATAATCTAGCATAACTCCTCACTTCTTGTAAAATAAAGAATATCCTCAAATGTTTTTCCCAATGTCTCATTCACAATAGAATATTTGTGTCTGACTTCTATGCTAGCAAATGCCATTCTTTAAAGGGTTTCTTCTATTGTATTCTACCTTTCAGACTGCTGGTTTTAGTGACGTTTTCATATCCCTCAAAAAAAAAAAGTTAAAATAAAATGGAAAAGGATTCAGAACTGCATATAACATACTTATTTTTCTTTAATTTCAGAATGTGTGTTCCATTTCCAGTTTGTATCAAATAAGATATGTGATCATCTAAGTGTTCCTGAAATATAATCAGAGAGAGAGAGATAAAGCATTTAACATGTACTTCAATTCTTTGAAATGGTGCTGTTGCTTACAAAAAAAAAAACCCTATGCTAGTACAGTTATGCTTACTTTCTAACCAGAAAACAAATCAGGCAGCTCACTCCGCCTTGACATTTAACATACTGTATGTTTTACTATATCTTCTGCAACTTAGACACATCTAACAAAGTGTGTGTGTGTAAGGTGTGTGTATAAGTATAGACATATATATAATTTATTTAGGTATGGCATAACATAGATGGACTTACAACATGATTAATATTTCACTTAGATTAAAACACAATAGAATATGAATGTTAAAAGGAACTGTATTCAAATACCAATGTCTACGCCATTTTTCTAGATAAAGGCATCATTGTTTATCTGGAAAAAATCAGATATTTGGACCAATATATGCCGTTCGCTTACAGTTAGTCACAATGTGATCTACAGTTTGACATGGGACCCCACAGTCACACTGAAGGGAGGATGTTATATCCCATTTATACAGTGAATCCCAGCAGATGCCAGGTGAGGTGTGAATCCTATTCAGGTTACATATACATATGTATACAATTATAAAGCCCCAATATAAATCTGCAATGCACATACAGACACATTATTCCAAGGTTGCAGATCTACACAGTGTAAATTACATTCTGACAATGTAGCTAAATTCATTGGATTTCTTGCTGGACTAACATGGTGAATACAATATGCTGCCACCTTTCCCCAGCTTGTTTTGCAATAACAATAGAGCTTTACAGCCCTCTCTAAGTGGTTTATAGAGTCAGCCTATTGCCCCCAACAATCTGGCTCCTCATTTTGCCGGAAGGATGGAAGGCTGAGTCAACCTTGAACTGGTCAGGATCAAACTCCTGGCAGTTGAATGCAGAGTTAGCCTGCAATATGCTTTCTAACCACTATACCACCACGGTTCTTGATTCGACTGCAACAATGATGCTAACAATGAGACTAGGTCAGAGAACAAATCTTCACCCTCAATGATGCTACTGTTGCAGTCGACATGGTCCATGGACTCTTGGCTTGTTCAGATTCCTTCCATTTCCTCTTGGGTACAAGGCTAGTTCTCTCTGACATCAGAGAGGTCCAAAGGATCTGCAGGATCCAATGTTTTCCAATTACTAACCTCAAGGAGATTAATTTATACCCATTCTAGAACTGCCATAAAGACATTTTTTTCTGGAAGGAAGGAAGGAAGAAGGGAGGGAGGGAGGGAAGGAAGGGTTTATTTCTTTTAATGGAAGAATTGTACCATCCAGCCTTTATATATGTTGGAAAATCCAGCACTAGACTCCTATAAACTGAATGATAGGATTGTTGTGTCTGGCTACCACCATGTTGATAGATAAACAATAAAAGACATGATAAAAGATTTTTGTATTAATACTAGCGGTGGCTTGCAGTACTCTAAATTGTTTGGCAATAGCAACTAAATCAATATATTGCTATTATTCCTCCTGATTTTATTTAATGAGGACATAGATTGACCAACAATCCTTGTCTTATCTATTTATATATATTGTTAAATACTGTAGAATATTATCTGAGGAGCATCACAGGAATGCAAATAACTTAAATAGAAACAAACCTCGTTAAAATGTGTCCAGCGCTTCTCCCTGTCTGTTAATCTTCTAGGAATTATAATCTCATATGTGGATTGCATAGAGATCTGTTGAGTATGTCCGCCTACCAATGAAATGTTTTTAAATTGGTATAGATTTTCCAATAACATCAGCGTTTTTACCGAGTACAATTATAAAGAATCCAGAATTTCATTTTACAACAACTATATCAATATATTTACAGCAGACATGTCAAACACAAGGCCCGGGGGACGGATGCAGCCCGCAAAGTGGTTTCATGTGACCTGCGAAGCCATCCTGGAAACAGTGAGGGAACGGCCCCCGCTGCCTTGGCCCTGGCCGGCTGGGAGCCAATGTACAATTTTGTGGTGGCCATCTATGCTGAAATGCATCAGTCTTAGCTCCACAAGGCCGTCCAGAAACACCAAGGAAGCAGCCCCTGCCGTGTTGGCCCCGCCCCCTGGGTGCATGCTGGGGAGGTGTCACCCTTTGTGAGGAATGAAGAAATGGACCATGCCTTAGCGCTTGCCCCGGTCCCACCCCTTCCTGCCAGAGACCCTCATATCTGTCCCACTCCTACCCAGGACCCTACAGGCACCCTTGACGCGAACGATGTAGAGCTGGCCATGCCCACCCAGTAGGCCACACCCACTCCATTCACGCCCATCCAGTAGGCTGCACCCCCCCGCTCCCCCCCCGAAGGCAACCGCAATGCTGATGCGGCCCTCAATGAAATTGAGTTTGACACCCCTGATTTATAGTAACTAAGAGAATCCACAAATCAGAAATAATGTTTCTCAGACTAACAAATTTTATTAAAAGGCATATCTAAAGTGATGTAGGACCGATATCGGAAAGAGGCAATCAATTCCCTAGAAATATCAAGGATTTCTTTGCAGGATGGGGAGGCAATTCTTGCCTGGACAGCAGAAGCTTTTAGATCTGGGCCTAGAAGATCAACTTCATCTTCTACACTTCCATTTATTTTACCTCTATACTTTGTGCATAAGGATGAAAAGTTAAAAGAAACTTAAGTCAGCAAAGCCAGGGGAAGTTTCTTGGACACCTAAGAGTTGCGGACAAAAAAAATAATGGCATAAAGTGAGCCAATGAAAAACGCAGTTTAGGAAAACCTGCGTATAATGAATCTCTCTTTCTCTCTCTTTTCAAACACTGAGTACCGCAGTGTTTCTCAACCTTGACAATTTTAAGGCATGTGGACTTCAACTCCCAGAATTCCACAGCCAGCAATGCTGGCTGTGGAATTCTGGGAGTTGAAGTCCACATGCCTTAAAATTGTCAAGGTTGAGAAACACTGGAGTACCGTATTTCATTTTGATTATTCACGCATAGACTTTCACAGGAGCACCAGACTCAACTTTTTTTTTTTGGTCATCCTCAGCATAACTACCCAGGACAGCAATTAATATTTCAAAGAGGCAGAGAGCTCTCCCTTCCTTAACCCCTTTAAACCTTTCCCTTGACATAGGTCTATGGCCATGTCGATTCTGAAAGCTCATCAGGAAACGCCAAACGCGCGGGGCACAGCTCCCCTCGAACAATGTAACTGCCAGTCAACTCTCTTTCACTGAAAACGCCTTTGCCGGGAAGCGGAGTCACCGACAGCATTTCCTTCCATATAAGGAACCTCAAGATCGTTTCCCAATAACTCGGGCTTGGCCGTTTGAGCCGACACTTTCACGCTCTTTCTTTAAGCAGTCCGAAAGCCAATCAAGACCAATACTTGCCCAGGGCTAAGCTTAGATTGCCCACGGCGCTGAGTCCCAAGATGAAGAAGTTCAAGTAACAGGCTGCTAACATGATCCGCTCTTGCCAGCTTCGAGGATCGAAGCGGGAACGGCCCGGCGGGCGGAGTTCATCTGACGACTGCGGGTAAACAACCAGCACTGAAACCTTAGGCGCACAAAGCGGGAGGAGTTCACTAACCCCTCCCCACGACCGGGGTAGCGCTGGTCCTTGTATTGATGAACTCGTTCCGCAGCATTTTGAGCATGACCACGTGCGCGCTCAGCGATTGACAGGCAGCTCGGCAGCGAGCCGAGCGGAGGAAATTTTGAGGAAGTAAAAGTTGGTGGGAGAGTTTTTCGCAAAAGGAAGTTGTAGAGGAGTGGTTTTTAGACTGTCGCAGGCCCGGGTCGCTTCTGAAGGGGATGATGGCAAGCTAACAAGCCGTAATGGCATCTTACAAATCTCCTTTACGCTCCAATGAAGAGAGCGCGTCCCTCCCCCCCCCCTAGTGCATTTAGACCCCAAGAGGCTGGAAACTTCGAGGAAGGGAGAGGCTTTCCTGGAAAGCCGAAAGACCAAATTCCAGACCCAGAAGAAAACGAAATTAAGTAGCTTAATCATGCTGTGGTTAGAATCAGCCTTTCTCTAATTCCGCAATATTAAACTAGGGGGAATTTCAGCGAAGGCCGCACAGCTTAAGTTACTGAGTTTGAAAAACACTCATTTAAATCACCGGTTAAGATGAGATCTATGGCACTTCCCCCTTTCCTCAACATGTTCTTTGTCCTTATTCATTTTCCCCTAATCAGTGGAATAACTTGCTTCCAGAAGTTGTGGATGCACCAACACTGGAAGTTTTTAAGAAAAGACTGGACGACCATTTGTCTGAAATGGTATGGCTTCCTGCCTGAGCAGGGGGTTAGACTAGAAGACCTCTTAGGTCACTTCCAGCTCTGTTATTCTGTTGCTCTGCTATTGTTCATCCAGGGAGGGACTCCTGAAAGTTTCCTACACTTCTAAAGGTACTACTTACATTTTCTTCTCTGATGCTTTGCTAATAATAGGTGGATAAGAGCCCAAAGTAATATATGCAAAAACAAAACAAACACTCCCCCAACAGTGGTGGATAATGGTCAAACTGTTCATCATAGAAAAGACTCTGTGTCTGTTGCCTTTAGCTTTCCAACTTTCTTCCACCACTCTGAACCAGACAACTGGTTCCCCTTTTGTTTTCTGCATTTGGGGACAGTTTTGTTTGTTCGTATTTAATGATGTCACAAATTTCGGTTACCACTTCTCCAGGCATTCTGTCAAATCTAATCCATCATATCTATTTTTGTTTCCTTTCATTTCATAATCTCGTGAAATATTGCTGCAGTTTTCACTTGTGGATCTTGTGATTTTGTTTTCTTTAGCCTTAAGCTATACATTAGCAAAAAGGAGCTTGTGATCTGAACCACAAGTCTTGCTTTTGTTACCTGAATAGAGTTTTGACATCTTTGTTTGTGGATTATATAGTTATTTTGGTGTCTGAGTCATTGATCTGCTGATATCCCTGTCTAGATGTTGCTACCATATAGGTGTGAAATAAATATGTAGATTGTACTATGAACTATTTCACGTAAGCCAACAATTGGCCAAAGAGTGACAGAAATCCCCATTCCTTTTATGAAATGTTATAAAACCCTGGGCAGGTAGTGTCAAGGTTTCCTCAAGGTGTGGAAACCTGAATATAGATGACATATTAACTACGGAATTGCCCTAAGTGATAACAAGACACAACTGCTTTGGGAATGGAAGCTGTCATGAGTCAATGAAATCTTTGATTAATTTCAGTAGGGTTTTTTTTTCTAAATGCAGAAAGTATCTATGCATGACAGTTTTAGCACCTTTCAGTATCATCACGTTTTTAACTTAAGTGATTTGATTGAGAGATATTTTATGCTATTACAGTTATTTCATTTCTTGGATAATTGATTCCAGAAAGTAAGCATGGAAATTCTTGCTCTTGATCAGTATAGGTTACATAGTCTCCGGGATTTATTGTGTTTTCCCCTATCTTCAGGATTGACAGAGCTGCATGAAGCAGTTAGTTTCTTTCATCTAAATGCAAGAAAGATGCTTCTGGGCCAATGACTTAACTGAGGGCCAAGGAACTGAAAACTCAGACGTGAATGATGGCAGATGACTTTCATTTGCCAGCTAAGCAAAATTCATCCTATTTTTGAAAAAGCAGAATTTCCCTTGAAAGATCACGCTCATACATTGGGGAGAATGTTCCTAGATCCAGCCGAGTGCCTGTTATAACACAATATACCAACTACAAACCTGTTGAGACAAAAGTGGTCTTCTGGCAATTATTTATGCAATTAAGTATTTCCCATTTGAAATATGAGAAAGAATTCTTGGATGAGACCACTCAGTTGTTATTTTGTATTATTTCATTTCAGCCTTGAATTAACTTCTGAAGCTGTCCTCTAGGGTTTGCTATCAGATAAGGAAACAAATGGGCCTTTTCAATATTTGATCAAGATATCTGTAGATCAGATTATACTCCATATGGCATCAGGTAGATATCCCTTTTTTATTAGTTATTGAAGAAATGGGTTACTTTAGATCTGTGTTTTATTTACTATATTCTCCATTGCTATTTTAATTTATATTTATTTGTTATTGTTTGCCTTTATTTTTATGTTATTCTATGAATCAATACTTACGTTTATAAAAGTGTGTGTATATGCACACATACAGACATAGACACACACAGACACTAGTTTGCAAAAAAAAACCTCAGCAGGAACAAAAATACGGAACTAAACTGTTCTTTTTGTTCACCATAAAAGGAAATTAATCTTCAGAATAAACTTTTGCCCCTTTTACAATTTTCTATAGAATAGCCCAAATTAGCTTTCCTTCATTTTTTTTTAAATATGTCTAATGAATCATGAGAATTGAATGAAATGTGAGAAATGTCTTTCATGGAAAATATTGACAAACTACAAAAGATGACAGACTATATACAAGCAGGTGCAATTCAAAACATATTATTTATTTAATAGTATATACAGTAGGTAGTCCTTGACTTACAATCACAATTGGGACTGCAAGCAGGAAACAGACTGAACAGATGTTTTCTCCTTGGGGAATGGAAGATGTAAAGGAGATGGAGAGGGGAAGGCACATCTAGATTTTTCTGTCTTCTTTTTGAAGTTCACCTGAAGAAAACCTTCCCGTTTTAGATTGGTTGCTCAGCTTGAATTTCTTGGGCTTGCAACCCTGTTCTCTAGACTGACAGCTTTAGGTTAACTCTTATGCATCTGCATATTTTCTCCCCCTTCCACAATTGCCCTTGAACGGATTTAAACAACCCATATTTTTGCTGCAATGCCAGAAATAATCAACTGATCTGAAGTACTGATATTTGTCCATGAACTAAAAAAACCTTTACCAGTACATTTTTAAAATATTCCTTCCAGCGTCATTCCTTCATTTTAGTTTTATCCCAGATAACTCAGTCCCTTTATTCTTTATTCCACCCATTCTTCTGGAAGCTCCTTGTTTAGCTCTTTTTGTATTCTCTCCATTTGTTTTCTGGCTTACTTACTTACTCGTGGTTCACTTAACAATGGTTTACTCAAACCAATTTTATGACAAAATGAGTCATTATTGGTTTGCACAACATACTAACATGAAGTGTCATACAAACTCCAAAAAACCTATTTTATAAAACTTCAGTTGGCCTAAGAAAGCATGACTTTCAATCAATTTAAATTATTTCTACATTCCATGTTTCTTCTATTGTATTTTTTTTGTAATGTTGTATAGCACTGCAGTGTCAGCAATCAAAATTTTGTAAGAATTTTTAAAGTCTGAATGCCCTCCACTCCTATTCACTTTAGCCTTTGAAAGCCATTATAAACAGCAAGCTACTTATCTGCTCTGTACCTATAGTATAGATTTCATTCTTAATGTCCAAGGGTGCACAAGTTATGCAAAGAAATTTCTGCAAGGTTTTCAGCCCAAGTCATATTGTGGTTTGTAATTCATGATTCCTAACTGGGCAAACCCTAACTATTTTGCCATGTTAAGCAAAACATTGCTTTATATTCTCTCTCTCTCTCTCTCACACACACACACACACACAAACCCAGCAGGACAGACCACGCGTTACAGTTTTATTACAAGGAAGACCCAGCTTTATAATCATTGCCTACAGGCAAGGTTTGCTGCAACCTTGGATTGCTTGAAAGGACCATCGGCATTTTTTTCATTTTTAGCCATGCCGGGCAGTTTAATAATTTTCCTCTCGAATACAGGAAGCGTCAGGAAAATTTTCTTTTAAAAAAAATAATAATACATTATTTGCTCTGCATTCAAAGCCTTAAAATAACCGCAAGCTTCCTCCTTGGCTTCTATTGCCAAAGAGGGGCTGGATGCAAAGACACTTCCGGCTACGTTACAGCGGACAGCAAAAGCCGGTCTTCCCGTTATCTCACTGAACAGTTGCAAGAAGCGCAACCCCTCGGAAAGCCACAGCGCCCTAATCAGGCGGGCCGTCATACTGACAAACGAACCGCGCCGCTAACACGTGGTTAATCAACTAACTTCCTATAAGGACAGGAAAACAGAAAGTCTTCTTATCTATGGTTAATTTTGTGGGAGGGCGGAAGTCTCACCAAACAAACGTCCGATGAATAACGCGTTCCTTCGACACTAAGTTCCGCCTTAAAAATTACTCCGCCTAGGGTTTCATTCCAGCCGCGGCTGTGCTGCGTTACAAGGCTCGGGTCTCTTACCTTGCCATGGCCAGCAGCAGTAGCCGCTTGACGGTGGCTCCCCAGGATCAGCATGCTTCCGCTGGCTGGGATGTCTCTGCTGGCAGGCCCCGCGTCTCGGTCGCCTGTTCCTGGGAGTGTCGGAGCGACCTGGCGAGAGTTCTCTGCGTCGTTCCGGCGGGGCAATTCGATGCGGGGGAGCTTTCGGAACCAGCCCCGAGCGGGTGAGAAGGACCTTCTGAGACGAAAGGGAAATGGGGGAACGAACGAAATGTAGCTAGCGGCCGAGGAATTGTCTGGTGATGCGAAGGCCCCCTCGGCAGGGTGGTTGAGTCCTTTCCAGGCTCATGTTTCTGGGTTCAGGAGCCTGTAATTTGCT